ATGTGTCCCTTTCACGTCAATGTTTCTCTCTCTCTTCCTCTCTCTCCCTCCCACTCTATCCAAACAAAAAATGGAAAAATGCCCTCCAGTAAGGATAAAAAAAAAAATAGTTATGGTGTCACTCTGGCTGGTGTGGCTCAGTTGGTTGAATGTCATCCTGTGCACTGCGAGGTGAGTGGTTCATTCCTGATCAGGGCACATGCCCGGGTTGTGGGCTCAGTCCTCAGTAGGAGACGTGCAGGAGACAGCCAATCAAATCCTCCTCCCTTCCTCTCTCTGTAAAATAAAAGCCAATTTAAAAACATAGTTATGTTGTCCTGGCCAGTTTGGCTCAGCAGTTACAGTGTCGGCCTGCGGACCAATGCGTCTCCGGTTCAATTCCAGTCAAATGCATGTATCTCAGTTGTGGTTCTTCCCTAGCCCTGGTCGGGGTTGTGCAAGAGGCAACCAGTCGATGTGTCCCTCTCACATCAATGTTTCTCTCTCTCTCCCCTCTTTTTTATTTATTTTTTATTTTTTACTTTTTATCCTCACCTGAGGACATTTTTGCATTTATCTTTAGATAGAGGGGGAGGGCCCTGGCCAGTTTGGCTTAGCGGTTGGAGCATCGGCCTGTGGACCAGAGAGTCCCAGGTTCGGTTCCCACTAGGGGAGCATACCAAAATAAATAAATAAATAAATAATAGAGAGGGAGAAAGGGAGGGAGGGAGAAAGGGAGGGAGGGAGGGAGGAGGAGAGAGAGAAACATCGACGCGAGAGACACATTGAAGTGAGAAAGACACATCTAGTGGTTGCGACCCACACGACCCCAACCAGGGTGGGGACAAACTGCAACCAAGGTACGTGCCCTTAGCGGAAACCAAACCCAGGACTCTCTGGGCCACAGGCCGATGCTCTAACCACTGAGCAACCAGCCAGTGCTCTTTCTCCTTCTTTCTCTCCCACTCTATCTGAAGATAAATAGAAAAATATCCTCAGGTGAGGATTAAAGAAAATTAAATAAACAAAATAGTTTGGTAAATGGCGTAGGAAAAGAGTCAGATCCTAAGGGATACAGGCTAGAGCCAAAGCAATTAAAAGATAACTGGAACATGGTCTTCTGGCAAATGTCAGGGCTGGTGGAAACTTGGCATATCTCTAAAGCCTGTTTGAAACTGGCACAGTCACTTCCACACATACTCCATTGGCCAGATAAGTCATAAGGCCAAGCAAGAAGTCAGTGGAACAGGTAAGATTACTCCTACCTACTAAGAAGCATGTCAGAAATAGAAGAAATGCCCAGCCAGGGTGGCTCAGTGGTTGAGCATCAACCCACGTGTACCGAGAGGTTGCCAATTTGCCCTGGCAGGTTTGGCTCAGCGGTTAGAGCGTCAGCCTGCGGTCCAGAGAGACCTGGGTTCAATTCCCGCTAAGGGCACGTACCTCGGTTGCAGTTTGTCCCTGACCCTGGTTGGGTCCTATGGGTGGCAACTGCTTGATGTGTCCCTTTCATGTCGATGTTTCTCTCTCTCTCTCCCCCTCCCACTCTATCTGAACAAAATATGGAAAAGTGTCCTCGGGTGAGGATAAAAAAAAAAAGAGGTTGCCAATTTGATTCCCAGTCAGGGCACATGCCTAGGTTGTTGCCCCAATCCCCAGTGGGGGCATGCAGGAGGCAGCCAATCAATGTTCTCTCTCATCGATGTTTCTATCTCCTTTCCTATCTCTCTAAAAATCAATAAAGAAAAAAAAAAGCCCTGGCCTATTTGGCTCAGCAGTTAGAGCATCAGCCTGTGGTCCAGAGAGACCCAGGTTCGATTCCCGTTAAGGGCACATACCTCGGTTGCGGTTTGTTCCCGGCCCTGGTTGGGTCTTGCAAGAGGCAGCCACTCGATGTGTCCCTTTCACGTTGATGTTTCTCTCTCTCTCTCTTCCTCTCTCTCCCTCCCACTCTATCCGAACAAAAAATGGAAAAATGTCCTCAGGTAAGGAAGAAAAAAAAAAAAGAACAGAGAAGAAAGAAAGAGTAGGAAACATAAAATCTACTAGTGAAAAGTCCCTAGTGATGTGGGTGACTGACACACTTTTAAGAAGCGGTGTGGCCGGGCCAGTGTGGCTCAGTGGATTGAACATCATCCCATGGACTGAGAGGTCCCAGTTCGATTCCTGGTCAGGGCACATGCCCAGGTTGCGGGCCTGATCCTAAGTGGGAAGTGTGCAAGAGGCAGCCGATTGATGTTTCTCTCTCACATCAATGTTTCTGTCTCTCTTTCCCTTCTTCTCTCTCTAAAAAAAAGTCAATAAAAACATATTAAAAAAATAGGTATATCCAATATTGAATTTGAAGTTATTTGCATATGCATTATAAAGTCTTTCCCCTTTATTTGTCTGTAGTTCCTACAGTCTGCTATGTGCACAAATAGCTCATAGGAGTGGAATTTGTAAAAATTAAGAAAAAGATCTGGCCCTGGCCAGTTTGACTCAGCAGTAGAGCATCGGTCTGTGGACCAAAGAGTTCTGGGTTCGATTCTGGTCAAGGGCACGTACCTCAGTTGTGGTTCAATCCTTGGCCCTGGTTGGGGTCATGTGGGAGGCAATCAATCGATATCTCTCTCATGCTGATGTCTCTCCCTCTGTCCTCCACTCTATCTGAAGATAAAAAATGAACAAATGTATCCTCAGGTGAGTATTTAAAAGAAAGAAAAAGAGCCCTGGCCAGTTTTGCTCAGCGGTTAGAGCATCAGCCTGCGGTCCCAAGAGACCCGGGTTTGGTTCCCGCTAAGGGCATGTACCTTGGTTGCAGTTTGTCCCCGGCCCTGGTTGGTTGTGCGGTGGCAGCCACTCGATGTGTCCCTTTCACGTCAATGTTTCTCTCTCTCTCTCTCTTCCTCTCTCTCCCTTCCACTCTACCTGAACAAAAAAATGGAAAAATGTCCTCGGGTGAGGATTAAAAAAAAAAAGAAAAAGATCTGAGTCCTGATTAGGTAGCTCAGTTGGTCAGAGCCTCATCCCAATATGCCAAGCTTGCATTGTCCAAGGGACCGGATTCCGCCCCCGGTCAAGGCACATACAAGAATAACCAATGAATGCGTAAATAAGTTGAACAACAAATTGATTTCTCTCTCCCATTCTCTCTCTTAAATCAATTAATAAAAAAGATCTGAGTGTTAAATCTGGGTGCACATTGTGCAGTACAGCAACAATAGGTTCAAGACATCTAGAGATCCCTATGCTGAATGAATCCAGCAGGAGCAAAAAACCAGAGCTGACCATAGGAAAAGCCCTCTGGGAATATACAGAAATCTTGGGGAGGACATTGACCCTTCCATAGTTCATGAATTTGAGATTGTACGCAATTCTACTTACATCTGAAGAAGCAGAGTCTCCTTGGAGTCTAATCTCATAATTACTAATCAAAGGGTATGAACTTTTTTTCAGGCACTTGATAAATAATGTTGAATTGCTTCATGATAAAAAGTTCAAATAGACATTCAGGATTTTTCCACTTTAAATTTAGTCAGCTATATTAAATACCAAACAAGGAAAACATAAAATAAGCTTTGAAAATAAGAAAAAATATACAAGCAGACACAATTACTAAATTGTAATGCTTGTTGAAAATGACTTTGTTCTGAGCAATTTTTTGTTTAAATTTGAAACTCCCTGCCCTGGCCGGTTTGGCTCAGCGGTTGGAGCATCGGCCTGCGGTCCAGAGATAACCCAGGTTCGGTTCCCGCTAAGGGCACGTGCCTCGGTTGCAGTTTGTCCCCGGCCCTGGTTGGGTCATGAGGGTGACAGCCACTCGATGTGTCCCTTTCATATCGATGTTTTGATATGAAACATGGAAGAATGTCCTCGGGTGAGGATAAAAAAAAAAAAATTGAAACTCCCTGACTCAGTATTAATTTCTTAAATCTTGACAGTTAAACTTGACCTTCTTCAGTCCTGGGGAACCCATGATGGTTGGTCATCCTTCTAAGCAGGGAAGGGGGCCATCCATCCCAGACCTGGACTTGAAGAAGATGAATGGCTACCTGTGTCCTCCCTAGAGTTATGTTTTAGGTTGACAAGCAGAACCTGAAACAGAATCTCTTGTGCAAGTGGTTTATTGCTGATGTGCTCTCAGGAAAGGGAGGGAAGCAGGATAGAGCAGAAGAAAAATGCTAAGCAAGAATGTAGTGTCAGATGAAGATTGACTTCAGTCTGATCCCACACAGAGCTCTAGACCAGGAACTGCACCAGAGTTGGTTCCTTTCTGAAGTAATGGGGAACCTCACAAAAAAAATGGGCAGTTTTTTTTTTCTAGAGGTCTCAATTAGAGTGCATCAGAATCACCTGGAGGATGTGTCAAAACAGATTGCTGGGCCAGCCCCCAGAATTATTGATTCAGTAGGCTGAGGTGGAGGACAGAATTTGTATTTCTAAAAAGTTTCAGGTGTTGCTGATGCTGCAGGTCCGGGGACCACACTTTGAGAACCACTATTCTAGAGGCAGGACAGCTGTGAAGCTTTAGCAGCCAACACTCATAGCATTTGGGAAAGAATATATCTGAGTGGCATCTACTACAGTACTAACTTGGCATCTTCATCATGAAGGCACACCCTGGGCCAGAGGTTTGCCCACAGGCTATAGCTGGGTAAATTGTTTTCTTAGGTCAGACTATTTATATTCAGAGTATCCTTTTATATTCCTGTTGACATCCTGCATCTGTGGCCAAAGCATTTTTTAAACATTCCAACTCATCTCAGCCTTGCTATCGGACTTAAAGGGAAGGGTCTGGCAGGTACATGAGGCTTTAAAGAGGGAGCAGCTGCACCTACTAGGCATGTATAGTGGAGTCGGTTGCAAAGAGTGGAAAGTCCTCAAGGGGGGGATAAATATTTGGGGGTAACCTTTGCAGACCACCTTGAAAGATGTTTTAATGTTTATTTTTGAAATTAAAGTAAGAGGACTTCTGAAGGCAACTTTTAATTTCATAAGCTCCGCCAGAACCCCTAACAAACAGCCCCGGCCCCTGAGAATCACCACCAGGTAAACAGGAACGTATAGAAGTATTCGTAGGCCCCATGCTTAGGCTGAAATGTTTTCTTGGAACAGTAATCATAGGATACCTGGTACCCCTGAGCCATAATGTCCATCCGCACGGAGTCCAGGAGATCCCTGATGACCGGGGCCGCCTTCCAAGGTCCGAATTTGACGACCGTCCTCTTGTCCGCCTCCAGGACGCGCAGGGAGTCTGCGCAGTGCGCAGCATCTTCTTCCGTGTGCACCGCACACACCAACACGCTGGAGCTGCGGGCCGCCACGGCCTCTGCGCGCGCCAGGCGCACCATGAGCTGCAGGTTCTCGCTGTAATTTGGCACCCGCTGCAAAAACTGCTTCCGACCCACCTGCTCACCAAAGATCTGCGGCGTGTCCTCCAACTGCTTGACTAAAGGTGTGATGTTGTAGAACTGAGCCTCACGGTACACCTCGGGGATGTGCTGTGTGGGCAGCTGCTGGCTGCGCAGGTAGTCGAGAATGGCTCCGAAATAGGTGCCGGGGCGATCAATGAAGAAGCGGCCCTCCGCATCCTTGCAGTTGAGCATATTTAACAGCTCTCTTCTCGAGAAGTTCCGCAGGGTGCCCCGGGTGGTGGTGTAGAACTCGCCCCCCACGTTCAGCTCCACGACCCGAGGTAGCTGGAGGTACAAGAAGCAGTGAACCAATAGCGCCACCTCCAGGGAACTCATGACTTATTTTCATCCAAAGAATAACCCCGTAGAGAATCTAGGAAAGCCATGATTGGCTTCAGCTATTGAAAGGGACGTCTTAACAGAAGAGAGTTATATTTATGCTGTATAGCTCCAGAGAATGGGCATTTTAAAGAAGTCAGGATTGCCCTGGCCAGTTTGGCTCAACGGTTAGAGCGTCGGCCTGTGGTCCGGAGAGACCCGGTTCGGTTCCCGCTAAGGGCATGTCCCCGGCCCTGGTTGGTCGTGCGGGTGGCAGCCACTCGATGTGTCCCTTCACGTCGATGTTTCTCTCTCTCTCTCCCTCTCACTCTATCTGTACAAAAAATGGAAAAATACCCTCGGGTGAGGATAAAAAACAAAAACAAATAAAGAAGTCAGGATTTCAGTTTGATATAAGAATTACCCGTTCAAGCATTTCAACTTTCCCATTTGGGTCACAGAATATTAGTATAGGAGGCTGCTGTGGAAGCAAGTCCCAGCGACAAAGTCTGTGGTCTTTGGCCAGGCAATTTCCCTTCATAGGCCTCAATGTCCTCATTTATAAAATGGGGATATGGCCCTGGCCAGTTTGGCTCAGCAGACCAGAGAGTCCTGGATTTAGTTTCTGCTAAGGGCACAGTACCTCGGTTGCAGTTTGTCCCCGCCTCGGTTGGGGTCATGTGGGTGGCAGCCACTCCATGTGTCTCTCTCACATCGATGTTCCCACCACCACCACTACTCTATCTGAAGATAAATGCAAAAATGTCCTCGGGTGAGGATAAAAAAATAAAATGGGGATATGAAGCTGTTGTGAAGTCAGGAGTTCCCGAATGCGATGCTTAGGGTCTAAGATTTAAAAAAAAAAAAAAAAAAAAGCAGGGGGTGGGGAGCAAACCATTTTCGACTTTTCAGAAAGGCTAAGAAGCAATACATGTATTCATTCAGGAAGCAGTTCTTAAGTACTTATTGTGTGTCCACCTCCTGTGCTGGGGATTGGGGATAAAAATTCTTATTTTATATAGATCAGAAGTTCTGATTAGCAATTGGCATGACTTTATTAACAAATGGTATTTGATGATATTTCTTGAAAATATGGACCATGGAGATTAAATAACAGAAATATTCTGGGTAATGAAAAGGCCAGTAACACCAGATACAATGAGTGTAAAACTGCCTCATAAACTGTAAAGTTGGCACAAATGTAAGTTAGGTTTAGCTGTTCAACAGAATTTTAGGGGCCTCTTCTCTATGTAAGACCTTGGGCTGAGCTCTACAGAGGTGGGTGAGACCCACACAGTGTCTCTCTGGAGATGCCTACAGCCCAGCGCAGAGAGAGACATGGAAACAGACTGACAGGCTGCATTCGGGGAATACTGAGCGCTTCTACACAGACCTAGCAAAAATACCAGGAGACCATACAGCAATTATTACATGTGAGGTGATATATCAGTTGTTATCCTTACAAACCAGCTTCTGGAATAACTTTCATTATTTAAAATTCACTCAAAAAATAAAAAAAGTAAAAAGTAAAATTCACTCACTCATTCAATAATATAGGTATGTGCCTACTTTGTGCCAGGTACCTGGGACACAGTGAAGAACAAGCAGAACATGGTCCTTCTCTTCAGAGTCTAGTAACTATGCAGAGCACTTCACATACAAGTTCTAATTCAATTCTCATAGCTATCCTATGAAGAATGTATTAAATCCCCATTTTACAGATAAAGAAACTAAGACTTAAGGAGATGAAGTACATTCTCTAAAATCAACCAGCTCTTAAGTGATGATGTCAGCATTTTAACTCGGGTCCAGTTTACCCTGAAGCTTGTGCTCTTAGTTATTGTATAAATTAGTTTTCAAATACCTCCATTTTTCTTTTCCTTAGTTATTCAGTCAAAAAAATGTAGGGAGGACCTATTCCATTCAAGTCTCCTCCTAAGGATATGAATATCACATAGTCTCTGCCCTCAAGGAGCTCACTGGGGAGAGAGGGAAACAGATGGTTTCGATGTGTAGGAGCTAAGAAAGAAGACTCAAAGGTAGGAGGGGTCGGCTTTTTGTGGATGCGTGTTGGAGGTTGTCAGGGGAGGTTTCCCAGGGATGTGATGGCTGCTGCTGCAGAGATCTGTGCAGTGTCAGAGGCTGAATTACCAACATGAAAACTCTTAACTACAGGTTATTGCAGGGCCCGAGCTCAGGAATGTCCTTCCATCTGATTTAGGTGTGACCTCAGTCTCAACTTGTCTGTGAGCTCTAGTTCTAAGATTAAAATACCGGGATTAAGAGAGCCACAGACAGTTAAACTGCTGGGAAAGAATTGAGTTGCCATGGCAACAGCTCCTACCAGGGGACAGTTCTGCTGGCTGGAAGGGAGAAGGGAAAGAGAGGATACACTGACAGCAGCCAAGCAATACAGAAAAATAATCCCAGAACCTGACTACCTCTTTCTCCCATAAACCTAAAGATCCCTTGGCAAGGCTCTTTGGTTAACCCTGAGGTCCTGCTGTATAGCTGGTAGTTAAATGCAAAGTTGCAGACTTGAATCCTTGAATGGATTGATGTGCTCTCATCACTCCTGCACCACTGAGAGCTCACAAGTGCTCTTAATGTCCCCCACATTCCAGGAGAGGAAAGCTCAGAACAAAGGGTCACACAGCTAGGAAGTGCTGAAGTTGGAGCTGGGACCAATCCATGTCAGTCTGACTCCAGTATACATGGGTGTCCTATCTCTGCCCCTCCCAACATCCAGTCCCACTGCTACCAATAATAAACTATGTGCCTGGGGCAGCTCACTTCCTTCATGGGCCTAAGCTTGTCATCTATGAAATAGGGAGGCCAAATGTAGAGAACTCTGAGACCCTCCAGCTCTGAAAGTCTAATGAATCCACTCACTTCAAATGTAATTTCTCAAGTTCATTTCTAGATGCTTCACAAAATAACTTCCTGCCCTGACATCCTCAGCTACATTTCTTTATCAAATAAGACCTTGGCCTTGTTCCCAAGCTTAATTCTGCCCCTCTTCCCCAAAACTCCTAGTCTCTTTGGAAAGCTCAGACCTCCAACCTCATTCATAAATACTACAGTATGTGTTTCTAGCAGATAAAGATTTCTTTTCCACCCTTCTTCGGGACCACCTGCCCTTCTTTCCTTGTGTCACCTCTTCCCCACCTTTCTACCAGTCAACCTGACAAGTATTTCTGAGTGGGAAAGCCTGTTTTAGGCCCTGGGTGCACTGGTTAGAGACAAATGTTCTTTATGAGACCCTGCTTGGTGCCAGGCCAGGGCTGGTCATGAGGACAGAGGGATAAATCAAATAAGCCCAGCTTTTCCCCAGATGTAATCAAAAGAGTCCCTACACATCTGCACCCCCCCCCCAAACATTCACACATTTCCTTAGGTCACCTTTATTGGAGCCAATGGAGGGACATCTCCATTAACACGTACCCCAAGTCCCTCAAGATCTCTCCCTAACCCACAACACTTACCTTTTCCATTGTTTCTTATCTCAGTTATCTGAGCCAAAAACTCAGGCTGTAATCTTGCATTCTGCTCCCAACCTCACCCCCACACCCCTTGCACACACGCACACACACATATAATCAGAGACCAAATCCTGGTGATTCTAAATGCTTGGTCAGTTCCATGGCACCCTGATCCCTCAAGTGCCCTCCCCCAATCCAATATCTACTCTGAAAACAGAGTAGTTGTTTGTTTGTTTTTAAATATATTTTTATTGATTTTTTTGTTGTTGTTAGAGAGAGGTAGAAGCATCAATGTGAGAGAGAAACACTGATTGGCTGCCTGCAGCACGCCCCCTACTGGGGATCCAGCCTACAACCCGGGGCATGTGCCCTGACTGGGAATCCAACTGGGACCTCTCAGTCCATGGGATGATGCTCAATCCACTGAGCCAAACCAGCCAGGCCAGAGTAGTTTTTCTTAAGTGCAAATCTGATATGCCTCCCCCTGCATTAGACATTTCAGTTCCCTTCCAGATAAACTTGACTCCTTTTTTTTTTTTATCCTCACCCGAGGACATTTTTCCATTTTTTTGTTTTGTTCAGATAGAATGGAAGGGAAAGAGAGGAAGAGCGAGAGAAACATCAATGTGAAAGGGACACATCGAGTGGCTGCCACGCGCACAACCCAACCAGGGCCGGGGACAAACTGCAACCGAAATACATGCCCTTAGCGGGAACTGAACCCAGGTCTCTCAGGACCATAGGCCAACGCTCTAACCACTGACAAAACCGGCCAGGGCTAAATTTGACTCCTTAACAATGTTTACTAGGCCCTTTACAAGGCTGGCAGTAAGCTACCAGAACTGCTTGTTGCTTTACCCAACCCCACCCAATCAGAGTAGGCTGGGTCCCCCTTGCCTCCAGGACTTCACTCATTGCTCATACTCTCTTAGCCCACTCATCCTTCAAGTTAATTCCTCCAGGAATCTTTCTAGATGGGTTGTCTCCTTGTGATCCCAGAGGACCCTGTACTTCCACAGTCTGGTAATTATCTATCTTGTAATTCTCTTTATCATCTATATCCCTCATCAGGTTCCTAAGGGAAGACTATCCCTGATTCATCTTTATAGCACCAGTACCTACTACCGGGCTCAGCACACCGGGGATGCTCCATAAATGTCTGTTGAATTGAATGGAGCTTACCTGCAGCACTGATTTACAGGAACACCTGGTATTCTGATGTAGGCCAATCTTGCCCTACTTGGCATCATGCACCATGCTAGCTCCCCCTTGTTGGGTAAGTCATCCAGACATTTATTGAGCTCCTAGGGCAGCCCTGCCACTGAGCAGGTGGCTTTGTCAACAGCTAAGAACAATGACTTGAACATCACCTATGGGAAAAGCCAATCTCCCCACTACTGGATCTGTTTTCACTTCCCACAAGTCTTCTGAATGGCACCTAGCCCAGGAGATTGGAATGCTCTGCTACAGTGCACTGGGCCTTTTCCTGATCCTCCCCCAAACTCCTCTGACCCAAGCCCTGGGAGGGAGCAGGAC